TGTTAAGAAAAACGATCAGAGTTAACGTTTCGGGTAGGGGGAACCCTTCCTCAGAACCGATCTGAGGAAGGGTCACCCGACCCGAAACGTTAACTCCGATTTTTTTCTTCACAGATGCTGCCAGACCTGCTGAGCTTTTCCAGCAACTTATGTGGTAATGAATCTTTGTAGTTCTCTACCACAGAAGGCTGTGGAAACTCAGTCATTAAGTGCAAGAGAGCAATTGATTCTTTCTAGTTACTAATGACATCAAGAGATACTGGGATTATATGGGAATACTGCATTGAGGCAGATGATCATCCATATCTTTAGAATAGAAAAACAGGCTTGAGGATCTGAGTGGCCTCCACATGTCAACTTCCCGCAACAGACAACCAACAGCAATGAGTTTGATCAAGTAAGAAATGCTATTTGGTCCTGACCAACACTCTCTTAATTTCTTGTGTTGCTGCATGGACCTCTGAAGTCCACATACGGTAGTGGTTTCACGAAGTGGAAGTCATCCATTGGCACACAAACATGCAAAAATACTGCTTATAATATCCTGACAATATCTCTACTGAACTACTGAAACCCTGAGAAAATGTACCAATCCCTCAGATGCATGGCCCATTTATGAAACACCGGCAAAGTGATGAAATTCCAAATGACTTCAAAAATGTCAAGATATTCACAAATTTCAATAAAATGCTGGATGGAATGTAGTAACTAAAGATCACAGCATTGTTCTTAACTGTTTACAAAGTCCTAAACAGGTTATTTTCTCAGTTGCTCTTGCCAATTGCTGAGGAGACCCTTCCTGTGACCTAGTGTAACTTCTAGTACACCTGCAGAACAACTGATATAATCATCACTGTACTTCAGTGATGTAACGTCAGGAAAAATGCACAGAACAGAACATTCCTTTTCACATGGCTTCCTTTAATCATAGAATTATAGAATCCCTACAGTGTGGAACCAGGCCCTTCGGCCCAACAAGTCCACACCAACCCTCTGAAGAACATCCTACCCAGACCCAGACCCACCCCCCTACCCTTTCCCCGTAACCCTGCATTTCCCAAGCCTGCACATCTTTGGACTGTGGGCAGAAACAGGAGCACCCGGCAGAAACCCACACAGACACAGGGAGGATGTGCAAACTCCACACAGACAGTCGCCTAAGGCTGGAATCGAACCCAGTTCCCTAGTGCTGTCCAGCAGCAGTGCTAACCGCTATGCCACCCAAAGCATCTTATGCAAATTTTTGACTCAGTGAATTTAACTGTTCTTTGGAAAAGTGCTATAGCTTTATGGATGGACAGACAAGTACAACAAACATCATTCATCCCCTACATAGCAGTATGCAAATAACTTCACTATGCAGTGACTCTACTATAGATACCTTCACTATCAAAAAAAAGCACAAATCCAGGGCACCAGAGTGTCTCAGTGATAACACTGCTGCCTCCCACTGCCAGGGACCCAAGTTCAATTCCAGCCTGTGTGGAGTTTGCATGTTTGTCCCATATCTGTGAGGGTTTTCTCAAGGTGGTCTGGTTTCTTCTCACAGTCCAAAGATATTTAGGTGGATTGGCCATGCTAAATTGCTCTGTGTCTAGGGAGGTGCAGATTAGGTGGATTAGCCATAGTAAATGCAGGGTTACAGGGATAGCGTAGGGGAGCAGGTCTGGGTTGGATGCTCTTCAGAGGGTCAATGTAAATTTTATGGGGAGGATGGCCTGCTTCCACACTGTAAGGATTCTATGATTCTAATCCATGGGGTATACCAACACTATCCTCAAATCTTTCTTGCAGCAACATTCAACTAACTACCAACAGACTCCTTCTGTTGTTGCGATAACTTATTTCACACCAGCGGTAAACTCTTCAACCTCAGCTGGTCGAACGCTAAAACCAATTTAATCACTTTTGTAATAATGTGGAGGTGCCAGTGTTGGACTGGGGTGGACAAGGTCAGAAATCACACAACACCAGATTATAGTCCAACAGGTTTATTTGAAAACACAAGCTTTCAGAGTCTTACTCCTTTTTCAGGTGTTACAGCAGATCTCGAAAGCTTGCGTTTTCAAATAAACCTATTAGACTATAACCTGGTGTCATGCGATTTCTGACTTCTGTAATAGAACTGCAGTGTGCTGACAATGCACGAATTAGCACCGATTCTTACGGACTGCAACAGATAGTTGACATATTCACAAAGCGACTTGCCATGTATTTGGTACATTTGGTCCAAGTTTGTAGAGGGCTTTAGCTGTCCTGTTTTCAAGGCTTCCATTGAAATTCATGAAGAAGTTTATAAAATGGTCTCTCCTTTCCCCTATCAAGTGGCAAGTGGCTCTGTAGAGTGGACCAACGTCTGGTGGTGGCGATGTTGATGAGGTTGTTCTCTGAAGCATGAAATTACTTATCTTGATCTGGATTGAGGCTACGTTTCTCGTAAGTTCCCTAGTATATCCAGTATATCCTGATTAAATCTAATACTAAAATTGGAGTTTAAACCTGTACATTTCAGAACACAATCTTCATTAGCCTATCACTGAGTAGTTTCATATACTTAACCTGTGTTTTCTGACAACACAAAGTAATAATATGGACTGAAATCTTAGCCACACAAGTCAAAATTACCTTCTCCAATGATCTCTTCAACACCAGAAGCTTCTTTATCTGGCATGGGTTTCGGCAGTTTGGATCCTTTCAATACTTCAGAGGACGTTGATACTGACAATGGTTCTGTGTCCTTCTAAACGCAGGGTTTAAATGAAATATTAACCACTACCACGCTAAATACTTCAAAACATGACCTGTAGAACTGGAAATGCTTAACCATAAGCAGGTAATAAATAGAAGAAAGCTGTTCATATTAACATTTGCACAAGCTCACCTCATAAGCTTGTCACAAATATACAACGTTGGAACCCACAAACTCCATTTCAACAAAATGAATTCTAGAATTTTAGTTTTAATAAACAATGGCTTTTCCACCAACTTTCCACATTTTTGATCTTGCAATGACTGAGACTATGTAAGAAAATACATGCACACAAATATATTTTTGCATAGCAAATGAAAAAGTGAGAAGAGTCAAACAAGACCAATTTCAGTCCTAACCCCAACTGTCCATCTCTACAACCTCAAGACTCTGCCAAGAAGTTTTAAAGAATTATCCGAAAAGTATAACCAATATCTATGGATTTGCAGAGAGAAATGCAACGCATCAAAGTAAGGAATTGGATCTGTGCCTATCATCTAAGGGAATGCAAACTACACATTCAGGTGACAGGAATAGCATTTTTTGTGCGCTTGTTGTATGAATATTTAAAGGTTAAAAAATAAAATTCATAAAAGGATCAGCCCAAGCTGAAATAATGCATCCTAGTCTGGGTATCACACTTGAGAAGCAAAGCAAAGGTTTGGAGACAACACAGATTTGCAAAACAGTTCCAGCGATGAGTAATTAAAGTAATGGACTGACTAGAGAAGCTAGGATTTTTATCTTTCGATCAAAGAAGGTCAGGATGAGGTTTGGATCAAGTAAATACAGTAAATAAAGTAAAACCTTTTCCAATGACTAAAGGAGTCAGTAACTAGATAGCATAAATTGAAAGCAGTTGGGAGAAGAACGACCAAAAAAATAATTTTTAATACAAACATGACTAGGATTTGCAAAACACTGCCCAATAGGCTAGTGGACACAGAATGAATAATAGCCTTCAAAAGGAAAGAAAAATAGCTTGAAGGAAAGCAAAATATAGGGAAATTGAGAATGAGCAGGACAGTAGAATTAAGAAAATTGCTTTTCAAAATAACTAGCATTGTTTGATAGGCAAAATGACCTCCTTCTGTATTGTGTTTTTCCATGATTCAATTAAGTCAACTAGAATGAATAAGCAAGCCAGAATACAGATTTTAAATTTCAATGGCTTATATCTACATACCTGTTTCTTTAAGACAGGCAGGTTATATGGTGCAGGACCAAGAGCTAATTCAAACACTTTATCAGAGTACGGGACGGTTTTCTCTATATTCTCTCGAAATTTGGGATCCCACTTTGCATACAATATAGTGCCACCTAGGCCACCTCCAATAAACAGGACGGTTCCTCCCACTATTTTGCCTGCTGAGGTTCTACGAATTAAAGAAAAACAAACCAGCTAGTAAAAGGGCAATAATACATTTCGAAAAGTAATACATTTCTAACTACTATAATATTCTTTCACAGAAGTTGGCCACATTCTGTCCAGTTACATGCTCCCAAGTAATAACAGAAGTCAATTGATAAGAGCAGACTATAGGTTTGTTATGCAGTACCCACCTAAGAACTGCTTAAATAAATTAATTTGAACATTAAACTAGATGCAATATCTTATTGAAGTCAATATTTTAAAATGTATTCTGTAAAATTATTTAATATATTAAACCAATCTCATTTTTGGATTGCCAACAAATTATGCTGTAGGATTTTTTTTTCACTTCACAATTGATATGACTATTTTTTACAATGCTAAAGTTCCAGAATCCAATATAGATACTACAACAATAAGCAATCAAATAATAGATTGGCATTGCTCAGTCTGTCTTGGGAGCACTAAAGCAAAGATTCCTCCACAATGACAAGGAGGAGAAAAAACTGTCAGAACAAATATATTCTATTCTTGCACTTCACAAAGTATCAATAAAAAAGGCCCAGAACCAGATGATCCATCATGCTATCCCGTTCGTGCGTTACAACAATCGATAACTGCCCCAACCACGGAAGAGTTTTGCTCAGATCAAGCACATTGCCCTTTTATTTGGAGGGAAAGAATATTCAAATAATTTTAACACATTAAATAATTAGAAATAAGTAATTTTTATACGACAATTTTATTTTCAGCTAATATATCATACATACCCCGTACTACTCCCAGTTGTGTACCCACGGCATTGTCGCAAAGGATGAAGCTGTGATTTACCACAAAGGCACTTCTATAGGAAACAGGAAAAGAGAACAGTTTAATAAAGAAGGAAATCTTTACCCAAGAAAGAATTTACCATCCCTCAAAATGCTAGACTCAAAAGTTTTCATTTTACAATATACTATAGACTGAGTTAAGGGAACTGGTTTGGTATACAACAGTCACATGCATGCCTCCCTATTAATTTCAGCTAACCACATGAAACATTTAAAATAAGCAGGACTTTACCAGTAGGACTTTAAAGTAGTTAATAAACAGACAGCATCCTAGTAAACCTTTTCTGCACACCTTCCAGGTTCTTGACATCCTACTTAAAGATTGTGGTTAGGAAGAAAGGCACAGACCTAAAACATAAACACTGTTCTTCATTGCACAAATGGTCTCAGGTTTGCCACAGCTCCCTTTTATAAATACAAGAGGGTTCCTGATTTTCCAATTTTCTAACCACCTCAACAACATACCGTCTTACTTTTAAAAGGTACAGCAATACAAGCTCCAAGGTCTCTGTTCTTCAGGCAGTAACACTTAGATTACATTACCTCTTCAAGTGTTTCATACTTAACAATTCAGTTTAATACAGGTAAGTGTAATGTGTCTCCCCATTTAACCATTTTACATCCTCTTGAAACCTATTGCAAACATGCTATTTAGTGCCGCAAAGTTGACTACTTACTAATGTTCGTAAACTGTCCTAACTATATAAAAGTGCAGTTATATAAAACAACACAAGGAAAGCGATGATCCTAAATCCAACCCCACGGGAATACACTTACAAAGAGTTTACTACTTTTTACCTATCAGTTTGCCAATTTTATAACCACATTATTGCAGCCTCTTTAATAAGACGTGCATCTATTTTCTGTAATTGCCCATTATGAAATATTTTATCAAGTACCTTCTGAAATTCATTACCTTGACCAAGCCTCTTTGCAACTAGAGAAATGAATCATACTTAACTACAGCAAATCCACACTGACTGACCTTTGCTAGCCTGTGTCTCTCCAACTGAAAATTAATTTTGTTCATGAGTATTGTCTCTAGTGGCTTTGATTTTGATTTTATTCTCAGGTGTACTGAAATACAGTGAAAAGCTTTGTTTACGAATGGTACAGGCAGATCACAACAAGCAATGGATATACAAATAAAAAAGACTTAGAGGCCTACAGGTTACATTATTTGAGTGAGCAATTACAAGAAATGTTAGAGTTAGATCTGCTGTAGGAACTCTCAAGGAGTCATCTGGTGTTGGCACCAGCTTTATAGGACTGAATGCTGGCAGTTGGTGGTTAAGAAAGTCTAATTTTTTTGTATAAATCTAATTTTGTTTGTGGCAGAGTTTTAACAAGGTCTCCATTGGAAGAGTAGTTGGGCTTAATGTGTTAAATAATCAACTCTAACCGTTCCTCTGCAACTGGGAGAAAAAAAAGTGCTGGAGAAACTCAGCAGATCTGGTGGCATTTACAGAGCCAGAAACAGAGTTAACAATGAGTCCAATGATTCATCTTCAAGTCAGTGCCTTCAGAAGCCCAAGCCTCTCCTGCCTGCCACTGTCCTAGAGGGCGAAGGATGTGGTTGAAGTAAGCTTTATTCAAAGAACTGTGCTGAGTGGGGAGTTTAGTGAAGGGAGAGGAGAGGTGCCATTTTTGTTCTATTCTATTTCCAGTAAGTTCATTGGTTGATAAGAAATTGCTTTTAGGGTCTGTCTTTAAATTGCTATGTATTAGAAAATTATATTATTTTTAAAGTAGCAGCAATATTTGGGTTTAACTGAGAAATACCAAGAATAAGAGAAAGTCAGGGCAAATGTAATATATTGATACAAGCAATATCAAGTAGAAAAAAATTAATGTAGGAAAAGTAAAAACATGGCAGCAGTGCTTGGTCAAATGGAATGCAACATGAGGGAAGTCCTGAACCCCACTGGTGTCCTAGATGACCAAATGTGCACAAAGTGCTGCCAGCTGCAAAAAAGCTGGACTCCAAGTTTCAGAGGTGACTGGAGTCACTGTAACACACCAGTGAAGCTGAGGGTTACATGGATAGCACCCTCAGAAATGGTCACAATGCAGTTAAAGGGCCTTGAAGCAGAAAGGGAATGGGTGACTGCTAAGCTGTCCAACAGAAAAAGGCAGGTAGTGCAGAAGCCCCTTGAGCTCTCATTCGAAGAGTAGTTTTTCATTTTTGAAACTGAAGAAGGAGTGGCTCCTCAAGGTGTGCAATCAGAGGTATTATGTTCCAGAGCAGCTACAACACTGGTATCTATCTGACAATGTGGAAAATTGCCCAGATATATCCTGTATACAAAAACCAAAATTCAACCAAGCCAATTACCATCCCATCAATCTACTTTTCTTCATCAGTAATGTGACGGAAAACGTCATCAACAATGCTATCAAGCAACAGTCAAGAAGCCTGAAACCATCTGACAAAGCAGTCAGCTTGACTGGCACCACAGCCACTCCATCACCACCGCTGCTCAGGAGCAGTAGTATGCACTACTTACAAGATACACTGCAGAAATTCATCAAGGCTCCTCATATAGCATCTTCCAAACACAAAACTACTACCATCTGGGAGGACATGGGCTGTAAGTACATGGGATAACCACCACTTGCAAATTTCCCTCTAAGTCAGTCACTGTCCAGACTTGGAAATATATCACCATTCCTTTAGTGTTGCTGAGTAAAAATCCTGGAACTCTCTCCCTCACAGCATTATGGGTGCTCAAACCACTGCAGTCTTTTTGGTTTTTAAGAAAGCAGCTCACTACCACCTTCTCGAGGGCAACCAGGGATGGGCAATTAATGCTGGCTCAGAGAAGTCCACATCCTTGAATGAATTATAGTTAAGAAAAAAGCAATTTGCTTAAGACACCTTCCAGTAAAATACATCATGCGCCACTTAAGCAATATCCAGTACATGCTAACGTAAAACAGGTATTAATCACGTACAAAAGTCACCATCCTTTCTGCTGCATTACCAAATAACAAACTTGTGTACTCTCAGACTTAGGCAATTCATCCTGCTATATCTGCTCTCTTTCATAGCCTCCCAAAATCCATCTCATCAACGTTTTTCTCCCCTCATTTCTTACAATCATCATGCAATCATTACAAATCTTTCAAAGTTATTCATCATATTACAGAACAATGAAAATGCAACAAATAGCAATGCAATTAAAAATATTTAGTGGTTGGGGTTGTGGCACGTGTGTTGGCAAAAGTTGGTCTAAAGAATAGAAGTCAATCAGCCAAATATAGGCATCTAACAGCATACATTAATAAAAGAGAATATTCTGCTTTTAAGCCCACATCATGATCACCATAAATAATACTCATCCTCAACACTGTCTTCCCACAACAATACCACATCCTAAACTCTACCGATCCTTACCTTGCACATGTTAAACAAAAATGCATCCTTAGGTCTCTTGCTGAGCAAATTCCAGAGTTTCACAAACCCTTCGACAAAACTTCCCTTCATTTAGACTGGCCAAACTAAATCTGGGACTGTGATACTGGCCCTATATCCATCAGGTAAGAGGCATACCTACTCTGTCAGTGCCTTAAGATTTTATATATGTCAAAGATGCACTCATTCTTCTAAACTCTAGGGAACGCAGGGATCCACTCAACCTTTCCTCATAGATTAATCCTTAATTCCAGAATTAACGAACTTTTCCTGAAATCCTCAAGTTTAACTGGGAAAATGTTTGAATCTATCATTAAGGAAGAAATAGTGAGACATCTAGACAGAAATTGTCCCATCTAGCAGATGCAGCGTGGGTTCATGAAAGACAGGTCATGTTTAATTGATTTACTGGAATTCTTGGAGGACGTTGCGAGCACCGTGGACAATGGGGAACAGGTACATGCGGTATATTTGGATTTCCACAAGGCATTCAACAAGGTGTTGCACAAAAGGCTGCTGCAAAAGATAAGAGTGCACGGTGTTACGGGTAATCAATTAGAATGAAGATAGAATTGGTTAACTAACAGAAAGCAAAAAATGGGGGTAAATGGGTGTTTTTCTGGTTGGAGATCAATGGAGGTCAGTGGTGTGCCTCAGGGATTAGTATTGGGACCGCAACTGTTTAATGTGGAGCTGAGGACCAAGTGTAGTGTGTCAAAGTTTGCAGATGACACTAAGATGAGTAGTAGAGCAAAACGTGCGGAGGACACTGGAAGTGTGCACAGGGATACAGATAGGTTAAGTGAGTGGGCAAGGGTCTGGCAGATGGAGTACAATGTTGGTAAATGTGAGGTTATCCATTTTCATAGGAATAACAGCAAAATAGACTATTATTTAAATGGTGAAAAACTGCACCAGAGTTGAGAGGGTTGGCTTATGAGGAGATATTGAGTAGACTGGAACTATGCTCATTAGAATTTAGAAGAATGAGGGGGGAATCTTATAGAAACTTATAAAATTATGAAGAGAATAGATAAGATAGGAGCAGGGAGGTTGTTTACACTGGTGGGTGAAATTAGAACTAGGGGGCATTGCCTCAAAATGAGAAACAGATTTAATAATGAGTTGAGGAGGAACTTCTTCTCCCAAAGGGTTGTGAATCTGTGGAATTCCCTGCCTAGTGAAGCAGTTGAGGTTACCTCATTGAATGTTTTTAAGGCAAAGTTAAATATATTTTTGAAAAGTAAAGGAATTAAGGGTTACAGTGAGTGAGCAGCTAAGTGGAGCTGAGTTCACAAAAAAAATCAGCCATGATCTTACTGAATGGCAGAGCAGGCTCAATGGGCCAGATGGCCTACTCCTGCTCCTATTTCTTATGTTCTTACGTAAAACAACTGCACCTTTCCTTATGTAAGGAAATTACTGTGCATATTACATCAGTATAGACTTACCTACATAAGACCCTACATAACTGCAGTAAAACTTTTCTTCTCGGATATTCCAATTAGAACAGAACTGCATAACAACTAGGAGCAGGAGTAGGTAATTCAGCCCCTTGAGCCTGCTCCACCATTCAATACAATCATAGCTGATTTCATC